AATTAAGCAATTAATTGAGTTTACAAATTTAACTTTAATTGTATAAATATATTAAAATTCAGAACTGAATTTATTTTAACATAATAAATTTGGTATCATTATTCAATTTACATATCATCACATGTTGTAATTATTAGTATAACTACGTATTTATTTTAAACAAGTATGTTGTATTATATACATTATATTATAATACAATAATAAATTCTAACGCTAACACTAAATGCACATGATGCTTAAAACCAGTATTAAAATAAATTATTATATTTATATCTTGCAGCAAATATTAAAATTATATTGTACTGTATTATTACCAGAAAAAAACCACAAATTATATATATTGATATTATGTTTATATATTTGCTTCTATAAGAAAAAAATATAATCGGCCAGTATATGAGTGCCGCAACAGAAAAAACCGTAATTTTTATTAAATAAAATCTTTATTCAAAATCACGTGTAGAAACGAGATTGTATTATTTAAAGTCTTTATATATCTATAATAAATAAATAAATATAAAATTGTCAGCTTTGTTATTTTGTCATTTTATTGTTATTATCTTTTTTGAAAACATATATAAAAACAAAGCATGTCTTGCACTTTACTGTACGCACCAATATCAAAATTGCTGATAATTATATTTCAAATAATGCATTGTGTGTATATTTAAGTAATTTCGTATTTATGAAATATTACCAATAGTAACGATAAATGTATTTACTTTAGATCAAGAAGAAAAAGGCTGGGGTCGCAAACCAAATCCTCCCTGTCCATGGGGTGAAATACTAAAAGAAAAAAAAAAACCTGTAATTTGTATTTCGCCGGTTTCTGCAAAGAAAATTATCATATTGAATAGGGTATCAACTACTGGTTCTGGGATGATGTTCATTCTGAAGTGTATTTATGGTGCTCTTTTTGTTTTAAAAATACCCACAATACTTGTAATTGCAAATTTAAAAAATCAATTGAACTTGAAAAAGAAAAATTTAAATGTGAAAAATATTCCAGGAACTGTAGACCAATTTATCATTATAAAGATGAAAAATGTCCTCACGAATGGAATAATTATTGGGCAAAAAAATAGAGGAAATTAATTTTTAAATTTATTATTTGTAAAATTTTTTAGTTAACAAAATTTATAATAAATAATTATATAACTATTCCAAAACTTTAATTTTGGTCTCGATTTTTACTGTATTTTTGGTTAATCCTACTTCTTAGGCCATTTAAAGTTAATTTTTCAGTTAACATCACCCCCCTTAGCTAAAGTCTCTCCCCGAAAAATGAACAGCCAATCAAAACACTGGATAACTCTTGCCAGTCACCTGATTTACATCAACCAATGAAATTGCACACCTTTGTTCATTTTATATGTTTGTTTTATATGTTCATTTCATTTTACCCTCTCCCCCTCTCGAGAGTCCTGGCAAAGTGATGTTAACTAAAGAATTAACTTCAAACGGCTTCATTGTCCGATATTAATTATCTATATCTTTTTTATTGAAGTAACAAGAAAAAAACTGTTTTTAAACAAACCTTTTTCTACAAAAATCTTACTAATATAAAAAAATATATACATAAAAAATGATATAAAATAAAAGTTCTTTCATAAACTTTTTAGATCTATTTTCAAGGACTGGTGAAGGGGCAACCGGGAACTGGTGGGGCAGAGGAATGGTCAAACCATTTTTTTGATGACATTTGAAGTCTTCAGCAACCACATCCCAAGACTGTAATCCAGCATCATAATACTGGACATAGATTTGGACTTCCTATATTTATAATTATAACAGATTAATAAATGAGCAAATTTAAATCAATATAAATAAATGAATGAATTTTAAATATAAATGAACGAATTAAACATATAAATAAAAAAATAAATATTTAGAGAAGAGGTCCATATATAAATAATGAATGATAGAATTATAAAGAAATTGAATAAAAAAAAAAATTATAAATCACCAAATTTACCTCAATAATTATGCCGTTTATTGATTTTTTGGTGGCACGAGCAGTGCATTTATCATAGTAATCAATAAAAAGGATCAAAATTTGTTCTGCTGAAAGAAACCTGATAATGTGATAAGTTACTTCGTCACTATTTGGCTATTTTACTGCCAGTCTTTGACCAGACTTTAAAAATTGTCATATTTGGTTTTTTGAGTGTTAAAAAGGTCTAAATTTTCTATTCAGGCTTTATATTGTAAGATAAGAAATCCTACTTTTATATATGATTTTAACAGCATATTGCAGATCTTATATATATTTTAACTTGCAGAATATAATTATTAATGTATCCAGTTTATTATAACCATTTTCTTTATTATTAACAAGTTTAAACAATGCACAAAGCTTTTCTTGCATGTATGTACCTTAAATTTATACGGAATTAACTCTTGACTAAATATTTATTTGATATACGTACTGTATATAAATACGTATGTAAGTACAGTACGTACCAATTTTACAGATAAACAATCTGCAAATATAAATATTGATCTATATTTTTTTTATCACCAGAAATAAAATTTTCATTTAACTCGAAGTCGAATAAACCAAATTAACACCATTTCAATGTATTCCTTATTTTTCTTTTCAACAGATTCTTATTTTCCTTTCTATATGTTTCTTTTATTTCTTTCTCTTTTTGTTATATGACATTTTCTTTATACTTTAATTTCTTTTCTTTTTTCTATATGAACAACCACGAATCATTTTGATGTTCAATCAAAGATGAAATTCTCAATAAAGTATTTAAGCTTCAATCAAACAAAATCCTCAATGAAGTATTTAAACTTCAATCAAATGAAATCCTCAATGAAGAAATCTTCAATAAAGTATTTAAC